AGAGAGAGAGAGAGAGAGAGAGAGAGAGAGAGAGAGAGAGAGAGAGAGAGAGAGAGAGAGAGAGAGAGAGAGAGACTCTGAGGGAGAAAAACTAATTGAGCCGTCTTCTCTTCAAGTTGTCTTGTCTTCCGTAACTCCGTTTCTCCTTTCGTCTGCTATTTTTGCACGATTGTTCGAGCCGTTCTGTGTGTTTCGTATGCTCGCTGCTGTGTTCATCGGACTTCATCAGTATGTTTTTTTTTTTTTTTTTTTTTTTTTTTTAAACAAACCCCTCCAGTGCTAGTGGCGCTTGTAAGAGCAGACACCACTAGCACCTGGGAAGTGGCTCCATCTATTGGTGGGGAGCATCACCTGCTGGAAAGCGGGTCCAGCCTCCCTTATATAACCTGAAATTGGATACATCAGAGAAGCAATTGTGGGAGAATTCCTGCCAGCATTGATTACCCTGTGCTCCAGGGGATTGACTGAGCAGAATGTTATGGGTAAAGGGGAACCTCTTCATCCAGAAATCCGGCGCCTGACATATAGCTACATAGTAGTTTCTCCTTTCTCCGGAGCCACGTGGAATGAATGCTAGCTGGAAACCGGATCCAGTGTCCCATAACCTGCCTAGGTGCCATGAAGAAGGAGCCAGGAGCCAGAAAGAGCCACTGGGGGGCACCAGAGGGATCTCCTTTCGTCCTTCTGACATTATTGCCATTACTAACGCCTGAAGCGCCAGAACCTCATTCCTGGACATATAAATTATGGCTGGATTTTGAAAAGGTTAGCTTGTATGTATGTATATGTATGTGAGTATTACGGAAGATGTCATTTAGTATGTCGATTCTTACCTTTCTTTTCTTTTGGTTGGCCGGAAATGTGAAGCCTCCCTTAGGGCCTCCCTCTTTTGTGCTCTGTGGAGCCACAGTTTACCCCATCTGTCAGGAGAAGATAGACAACCTAGTCCACTCCTATAGACTCCTAAATCGATTGTATTCCCCTAATCCAATCCAATCCAACCCCATCCAGTCTCTAATCCAATCTTCAATCTAATCCAATCCAATCCACTCCGATCAAATCAAATATCCAATCCAACCGAACCCATCAATGATTCCCATCCAATCCAATAAAATATCCATTTCTTTATTCTTTTTTTTTGTCTTTTGTCCTTCTGAAACACAAAGCTCCGATCTATTCGTGGGGAGCATCACCTGCTGGGAACAATCTAATCAAATGTCCAATCTTTAATCCAATCCAGCACTACCAATCCCCTCTAATCCAATCCCATCCCATCCACTCCGACTTCATCCACTCCAATCCAATACAAATCCTATGCAGTTCTCATGTCCTGTGTATGTTCCCCGCTCCCTCCCCCTCCCTCTCCCCCTTCCCCCGCTCTCTTTGAAAGTATATATCCTCCTCCGATTTACTGGGTAGGGAGCCTTACCTGGCTGGATTCTGGATTGTTGATCAACCTTGCCTTGTTATCACAACTTATCAGGAACTGGGGCGATCTTCCGCCGGGAGTGCTTGAACGAGATCGGCTTCTTTGCCACCGGCTCTGTTACCGAGGATTTCGACACAGCACTGCAGTTGCACTGCCGTCTGTACGACTCTGTGTACATTCAGCAGCGATTCCAGACAGGTCTGACTCCGTGGACGCTTGCCACCTTCATCAAGCAGCATCAACGATGGTGCATGGGGGGGATACAGATCCTCTTGAAGCGAGGGCCGCTGTTCATAAAGGATGATAGATTTGGCATTTATCGAAGAATCATCTACTTCTACGCGGGAGCTCATTGGCTTCTAGCCTTTGTCGTCGTGGCCTTTCTGGTGATGGCGCCCATTTTGCTCTTCTTCGATATGTCCATGCTTCCCACGGAAGCCAGTCCGGACGACTTCCGGACTTACGTGAAGATGCTGGCACCCTACCTCCTCTTGTCCCGAGTCACCACCCAAGTGCTGTACCTTCGAATCCCCGGCTTCATCTTTCGGCAGCAAGTGCGCATACGCGACGAGCAGGTATTCCCATCCATACCCCTCCCTTCTCCTCCCCTCCCCCCCCTCCCCCCCCGCCCTGGGCACTTTTCTTTTTTCAAGCATCATGAGAATCCCTTAAGACCATACTCGCACGTTGGCCTTTTCATCCTCTCTGTGGACGTAATTGAGCTAGTCCATTAGCTTTTTTTTTTTTTAATAGGTAGTCCATTAGCCTCTTGGTTATCTTTTAAACTTTGTTTTTGTGCTTTAAACTCCTTTTGAAGTGAAGTTTTTTTTAACGTTTTTCAGTTCTGACCCTCCTCGTTGTTCCTTTTCTTTGATTTGTGTCTGTTCCTGGAATGTTGTGTTTCTGTTCTGGGCAAAAACAAATGAATGGAATTTCTTCGATGACAGTCCTGGTGGTGGTTGGCCCCATACAACTGCATGGCTGTGATGCGAGCATTCTTCCCTTGGGTCGCAAAGAAATTCGAAGCTACCGGGAGTCTGATGGAAGGAGGATCGTCTGGATGCCTGCCGCTTCTCAAAGCCTTCGCAGCAAACGTGCACCTCGTCCTTTTTCATCTATTATACACCCTCGTAGGCATTGCGGCAATTGCATGGAAAGTGTACAAGCTCGATTACCGGGACTGCAGTCAGCTGATGAAGACAGTCACATCCACACTGTTTGTGCTGTTTTCGATGCAGCAAGTGTTTACGCCAGTGCTCTATTTGCTGTTTCCCCCATCCATCGGTCCGGCGGACCGCAAATCACTTCTGAAGTACGACAGCCGCACTGGCATTCCGGTATATAGCGATCATCTTGGCATTCCCAAAGTGGACCCCAAAGTGTTGTTCCTGGATGTCCTTCCCACCCTTATGGTCGTAATATGGGGATACTTTTTGTGGGTAGCTGTACATCCAGACTACAAACTAGAATTCTGTCGTGTGCAGTTCTTTGCAGGCCAGTCATTGTAGTATAGTAGTAGTAGTAGTAGTAGTAGTAGTACTAGTAGTAGTCTTAGAGGAATGTGAAGGGGCTTGAGAGTGAAAAGAAAAGAGTCGACGTGCAGCCCCTGAAGTACTGCTGCTGGACGTCCTTCCAAGTTCCCACTGAGATGGTCGTATCATGGGGCAGTATATGGGGGTAGTGTTGCGGGCAGATTTTCATCTAGAATCTGGACTAGAAACTGGAAATGCGCAAGTTCCTCGCTTGCCGGCCTTTCTGGCAGTGGTCGTAGGGTTAAGGAAGGCCCCTTTAGGGGAGTCAAGTCCTGTTCCTGGATGTTCTGCCTACTCTGATGGTCTTAGTAATATGGCGAAAGTTTTTGTTGGCTTACCTGATTCTGAATGAGGGGAGTGAATAATCCTGTCTGTCCATCTTTGAGCAAAGTTGTTGCAGTATTAGGGCCTTGTTAGACTCTCATGGGGGATATAATTCTAAGAATTTCGCCATCATTCCACGTATCCTTGGGGATGAAATTGAAAATGAAAATGTGAAAACACTCCAAGGACAAATCCTCGGGCTCCAGGGATTTCCCACCATTTCGTCCTTGGTTCCAAGGGACCTCGCAAGGTCCCTTGGAGCCCGAGGAGATCCGTGTTTCACAGAGAGACGAGCACATAGCATTGCACGTAGCATTGCACCGTTTGCACGTAGTGGTGGTACGTTACAACCGAGCATGCCGGCCGTGGCGACACCCTATTGGCTGAAATCCAGAAGCCCAACTGCTTTTTTTTTTTTTTTTTTTTTTTTTTTTCCTCAGATTTTTTAGGACTAGTCCTAAAGCTGCCGCTCCAAGGATAAGTCGAACGAGGACTAAGAAAATCCTAAAATTTTCCAAGGATTCATCCTCGGTGCTGAGGATCCGCTCAGGAGTAACGAGGCCCTTAGTGTGTCTTTTTGCATTATTGATTGCTATGGTCATTATTGCAATTTGCGATTAATATTATTTCTTTCATTATTATTCAATTGGATTTATCATTACATACAAAGTTACAAACTATTAAGAAGATGCAAGTCATGCGGCTATTAGCGGAATTCATTCGAGCGGTGTGGGATTGTGCCACAGCGCCGGTACTAATACCAGCCATGCGTGGCTGTAGGTGCAGTACTCAAAAAAGTACCGGCAGTGGTCTACTCACGCAGGGTTGTAAGGCGTACACTGGTTTGAAATTTGAAATAGGAGAGGTGGTGCCAGCAGCAATGGCTGATTTCAGCTGAAGAGCGTCAGGATTTTTTTCATTTTTGTTTAAGGAACCCCTTCTAATGGGAGTAGAAGGTATTGTGTCTATATTGATTGGGGCCGAGGAAGGGTGTGATCTGGGTACCTACTGTATCCAAAATAATATGGAGCTTGATCAAGGATGATGGCCTCCACTGGTCAATTTTTCGAAAACCAAATTAGGAGACGGAGATGGAGATGGAGATGGAGGTGGAGGTGGACGTTTGTGTTCCTGATTGGCAAGTCTTTAATCATTCATGTCGATTTAGGGCCTCCCTCCAATAAATGTTTCTGGACCTGACTGATAGAAGTTGAACCCCACCATCTATAATGACGACCATGGACAACCTTCCATTGGTGGCTGGCGACGGGGCGAGCTTCGAATACATACTGGAGTCAATCACGAAAACGGTCGATGAAGTGGGTGACATCGCAGCCTCAACATCGATAAACCAACCAGCTGTAAGACAGCATCTGCAGGATGGAGTTGCTGGAGGAGTTGGAAACTGCTATTCAATCGTCTGACAGACTGACTCCGCCTCCGTTCACAGGGCGTGGCAGAGCAACCATGCTTATGCCTACCTTCACTCACTCACGCGCCTTCGAAAAGAGATTGAAGATCTGCTGTTGACCAAATATCAGGTCTTCGAAGAAAACACGGTCATCGCTGCCGAGGCTCAGAACGGTGCGATGAAAAACGCTGCGCATCTGCCCGACAAGCATCAACTCCACGAGAGGAAGGTGATTCCTCCTTCCCACGATCAATGCTCGGCTAAGGGCCAGGGTGGCGCCAGCTGTCGACAGCACCGTCTGAGAGTACCAGACGAGGACAAGAGGGGGCGACTCAGAGCAAAAGATGCCCGCCGTCGCAAGGGTGCTTCAATACCAAAAGCTGGAATGCTGTTCCCCAGCGGCTGGATGAAATGCACTGCGTGATGCTACATCACGCCGGGATAAGGCAGTTCAACGATACGAACTCTCAAATCTACATAGCAAACAAGACCAAGGGAAGGGATGGTGGCGAGGGGGGGGAAATGGAGGGGGGAAATGGAGGGGGGAAATGGGAGAGGGGTGGTGAGCGGGCTTACCGATCCTGGCGACCGCCTTGGGCACGACCTCATCCCTTCCCTAGCACGCATCTGAAAACGGTGGAGGTTATGAAAGATGATCGATGCCTTCCCTAGCTGTCTGCGACTCTGCGACCTGACCTCTCCTCCGACGCGAATCTGCACGAAGGGATGGTTCTATTTAGAATTCGTATATTCGTCTTCACCCTGTGGTGGGTGGCTCCTCTTTCCTTTTCGCTGGACCACATATCTGCCTCCATGGCTGGAGGAAATCAGTATAACTCATATCCATGTCCTACCATGATAGGCGAGATTTGCCGCCCTTAGGTTCGGGGTCTTATGGCCTGATGGCCCTGGCCTTAGGCTATCAATAGTAAACGCAGATTGTCTCCCTTGTGCTGGGGTGAGGGGTGATCACAGATGCTTGAGCGGGGAATAGAGAGGGCAAGTAATTAGGGTTTCCTGTGTTGTGTCTTGTAGAAGGGGGGTCAGTCAATCCCCTCCTGGAGAGGGTAATCAATGCTGCCCCCCATTTTGCATTCTTTTGCTGGATTGTTGAGATCCTTGCTCCTGGTACATGTCACTGAAGGGACGCTGGACCCCGTTTCCAGCAGGTGCAGCTCCCCACCAATAGATTGGAACCATCAACCCTACGAGGCCTGCTAGAGGAGAATGCTCTTACCAACTCCTGCTAGCAGGTGCTCTCGTGCCAATGATGCTTTTTGAGCCTTTTTCCACAAAAAAAAAAAGAAAAAAGAAGTTTCATATGTCCAAGATGTTCTTTCAGACTTTCAGTCCAGATGTATTTGGTCTTTGGTCTGTGAAACAGTCTGGAATCTGTTTACTTTTCGAATGTTGAGTAGTGGAGCAAGGCCCGTGCTCTCATTTTGACTCAAGGTGACAGGGTTCCAACCTATCTGCTATTCATTATGAGGGACACGTCTCTGGCCCTCTGGGCACCTGGTATTCAAGTCTCCAGTGGTAATTAAAGACTCTAATTTTGGGTCCTGCTGGATGCTGGAAGGACTGTGGTTTTGGTTTAGGTCTAAAGACTCTAAACTTGCTCTTAGGCCTGTTGTCCTTCCGTCAAGAGGAAGCCTTGACAATGTTCTAGCCTTGACAATGTTCGAGGAAGCGATCTTTTGGGTTCTCCTTTGTTTACCCCGTGTGTAGACAGGTAGGTTGTCTTGCCAGCTTAGGTGAGTCGGTGATAGTCCGTCAGGGTCCGAACTCGTGATGGGTGGAGTAACAGTTACATGTGTGTAAAACGGTGTAATATCCAGCCACATAGGCTGGGCGTTTTTTTGTAACTTTTTGTTTTTGGGTAACCTTTACGTAGATCATAGCCCTATAAAAGTGTCCCTTATAATCTTAAGGTAGGGATAATCCCTTGAAGTGAGGGTAGATTCAACTTCTGGACAAAGTTTTCGAAACAGGTATGAATTTGGATGGGTCTGCTCCCTTTTTTTTTTCTTTTTTTTTTTTGTTTTGTTTTGGCAGTAGTACATCCTTCCTGATGTGGAAAGTAATCAAAATGCTGTCGTCTCAGGGTCCCTTGATCGTAAGGAAGGGATGGGTCGAGTGCGCACCTGATATAAGGAACACTGAAACCAGTTTTTCGGTGTTATTAAAGAATAAAGCAGTTACCTTTGCTTGGAATATAAAAAAAAAAAGAGCATGGCTCTGATTCTCCTGGTTGTGATGCATGGTTTGAGAATGAACGAAGTTCCAAACTATTTGGGGGTCCTCTTTCCCCTTTCTACGTGAACACGGGAAGATTGAGGGTTTGGGGATGTGGTTCTGATTGCTTGGATGGACTTCCCTTGCTGATAGTGAAGCAACATTCAAAGATTACTCTCAAGGAAATACTTCCCCTCATGTATCGAATGAAGGTTTTCATACATGTGAGGATAGATCTGTTTTTTTTTTATTTTTTATAAAGTGCTGTTGAGTTACGTTTAATCATTTGGTCAGTAAAAGGTTATAGTTTTGTCACGAGCATTGACATTCTTTTAAAGTGCTGTTGAGTTGCGTTTGTTTCTTTAATCATTTGGTCAGTAAAGGGTTACAGTTTTGTCACGAGCATTGGCATTCCTCTTTACTAATGATTTGTGAAAACTCAATGCGTAAACCACCAGTACTTCGAAAGTCGGCCGCATGTGCCCAACTACATTGGCAAATGTTGGTACAGTTTGTCTATGTAGAGCCAGATCCATACCCGGAGCCAGCACAACGCAATCAAACCGGTGAACTTGGCCATAAAAGCCAGATGCCTTTACCTCTGCAACCGTGACCCAGTGTTTGAAGCTGAAGCCACGGTTGCAGGTAGTGACATTCAGCGCACCCCAGCATGGTTTCAGCACGGACTTGCACGTCCACAGTGCTCCACACTTGACATACAAGAGATCCTCTGCGAGGGGCAACCAGCCTCCGCGCAGACACCACTGCGCAGGTAACCTCACCTGGTCGGCTACTGCGCTCGTACACTGTTGGTAAATGTTGTCGATGTAGAGCCAGATTGATACCCGGTGCCAATGCAATGGAACCGAAAGTTGTTTTTTTTCTCTTGGAACTCTCCTCCAATGTTAGTTGTGCTGGTAAGAGCAGACACCACTAGCACCTGGGGCGAGGCTCCATCTATTGGTGGGGAGCATCACCTGCTGGAAACGGGGTCCAGCGTCCCTTATACAGACTGAGTTCATAGTACAGCAGAGAAACAAAATAGACGTTTCCTGCCAGCATTGATTGCCCTGGAGACCAGGGGATTGACTGAGCAGTTGAAACAAAAAACTAACCTCTTCGCCTTGAGCCCGGCGCCAGATACATACTGCTACCTACAAGTTCCTCTCCCCCCAAACATCCTATTCCCACCTTGCTCTATCCCTCTTCCCGACGTTCTGCTCTTTTACCCATTACCCCCCATACCATTCCACGTCCACCAGTGCCAAGGGTGAAGGCGGGAAGAAGTCCACAAAATCTGGCATCGGCCGAAGCGGGAGTGAGGGGTCAGTCTTCGTCCAGTCCTGAAAGCATAGGTGGTAGTCTCTTTCCCCCTCCCCAACTTCAGTCCCTCCCCTCTCCCTTCCTTTCCACACAACCTTTGCGATCCAACTTCCCTGTTCCCTGCCCAGCCAGTCTTTGCAGAAGTTTTCAATGACCTGTCTCCCATTGAATAACGACATCTTCCTGTATCTGTTCTTTTATTGATTAATAAACTCAGTGCCATCTCGACGAACCCCTTCATTTCCAGAGTGCAACGATGCCACCAGATATCCCAGATAATGGCACAGCATCCCACCTTAAACATGTTCACCTCAAAGGTTGATGCTTGCATCGGGGTCCATGCTTCACAGAGGAGGGCCCTCCAGTCCCATGGCCAGGGTTGTGTGGCTCCCATCTGTCTCCGGATGCGGTCCCACCACCTCCATAGCCATTTCGCTGCCGGGCATTGCAGAACATGTGTTCTATGGTCTCAGGCCATTTCCTAGATTGAAAGGATTCTGTACACAGCCTGCACCAGGGAAGCGCTAGGCCTTTCTGTTCCAGGTGTGTTCTATCTATTAACCAGTTGTTCGTCAGTAGGCATCTATGTTCCACCTGCCATTGTAATGAAGCAAGTTTGTTGGCATGGCATTACTTGCTTTAAACCACTTTACAGGCCGCAGCAATTCTTTCCCTAAGTTAAGATGCTTTATCCAACGTGACACCACCACATCCCGCAGGTTGGCTCTCGGTCTCAACATCCGGTACATGGTCGTAACCGAGAGAGTGTGCAGGCGCCCTTCCCTGGATCTAACCCTGCCATATTGGAGAGTTCATACCCACTCGTTTGGGTCCAAGGGAAGTTCGTGTATTGGTTTGTATACCCTCCATTGGTCTTTCTCTTGGAGTACACGGACACGAAATATTCCCGACCTCGGGAACCATCCTGTTTCTTCTGGCTGTGTCCGTTCCAAGCTGTTATCAGTTCTTATCTTAAACCGGTTGGCCACCACTTCCTGTTCCTCACCTGCCCTCTTGGGAGGAATATATACAATGTTCCCAATCACCCCTTCTGTCCCCCAAAACCCCACCAAATCCCCTACCTCTACCAATGGACCCCTGCGCAGAATCCTGACCCAATCTAGGGGGATGGCAAAGATAACTGTTTCCAGTGTCTCTCCCGCCTTATAGCAATATTTCAGCTTCTCCCTCAATTGGGTCTCCGACAGCCAGTCCTTGGAGTCTTTGTCCCAGATATCCTTGACTCTCAGGATACCATTCTTGACCCAACCTCGCCAGGGGTTTTGGCTGCTCTGGAGGATCCTGCTGTTCTGATCTGTTATCCATCGGTTTCCAAACAGGGGTTGCCGGGCCACTTTTTCCCAGTTTTAGGTGAGATTTTATCTGGTAGTGGCAATTTTCGCTAGGTCTTCAGTATGGTGGCCCAAAGAGGGTCTTTTTCACGTCCTGACTGGTTACCTGTCTGTCAGATTCTTTGTCCTTACTAGCCTTCGTTGGTCTGGGTATAGTCCAATACCTATCTTCTAGCCATGTCTCTGGATCAATCTCTGAGAGGGTAGGTGGTGCCAGTCTGGCGATCTGCTGCAGTGCTACTGGTTGCCATGTAGCCTGTGTGGAGAACAACAGATCTTTCACCCATTGGAGGGCAAGAGCCATCACCGGGGTATTGGATCAATGGTCCCCAGACCCCCTCTAGGTTTCGGTTGAATGCCTGAACTCCATGCCACTCTACTAATGGCTCTAGGACACTCATGGTTCCCTCTCCACAAGAAAGTCGTCACCAATTCAGGTTTGCTTAGGGACCAGATTGCGGACTTGCACCAGAGGGAAGCCAAGACAACGTTATTAGAACATCCAGATGCCTTCACCACTGCAACTATGACCCGGTGTTCAAAACTGAAGCCATACCGGCCCTGGCCTTGGATGAATGGTCATCGGGTGCTGGTACAAATTTTAGAGTGGGCCTCGGATGCTGACACAATTCGAGTGGAAACACCACGGCACTGTACCAATGGCTGGCTGAATGCATGTTGCGCCCTCTGGAAGTAATGGGTTTAAGTTCTTTGTATTTCTCAGAGCAAGCAGCATTGAGGTGATGGTTAACAACTTCACATTGGTTTGCAACCACTGTCTTCACCCGAACAGAATGCCCTGGTATAGTTGTATAACTTGTATTGGGGGGCAACTTTCGGTATAGACTCAGCGATGACGACCAGGCATTCTGTTCGGGTGAAGAAGGGGGTGGACTGCTATGTGATTTCAATTTGCTTGATTGTGGGTGTTCAAGAAGTTGTTTTGGATTTGTTATTCCTCGTCATCCACAATTGGATAAGTAAGGGTTGAAGATACTGCGAGGTGAGGAGGCTGGCTGGGTCACCAAGAGATAGTACTAAGGCTTACAATGTCATGAGTGATGGACCCTGATGGTGACTCGCTGGCTAGTATGGCAAGCAAGACTTTTGTTATGCCTGTCTGTCAACCCTCTTTCCATGTTGGGAGGGTGGTTGTGAGATCATGTCCTCTGGAGTTAG